CATATATAATATATAATATATAATATATACTATTTAATATATATAGGTACATGATTAAACGTACAAACCTTATATTTGATTATATGAGTATAATAGTTAATGATGATTTTGAAACTATAAATGATTCATTACCTAATAGTATTTATTATATTACTCTTTCTTCATTTAATCGTTAGGTATAGATACTTATTTTATTACACTGTATCCCGACATTGTATCTATAAATTCTCCTTGTACTTTACAAAGTTATACCCATACACAAATTGTATAATTATATTTTAAAATCCCATCGACCATTCCAATATTGATGTATTTTGTCGCAGTAGTACGGAGCCAATTGTGTAATGCACAGGTAGCTCTTATAATAGAGTCAGTTTTGTCCAAAGATGTTGATATTGGTTTTTCGAATATCCTGAATTTTGATACTAGTATTCCAAATGCATTTTCAACAATGCGTCTAGCGCGAGACAATCTATAGTTGAAAATCTTTTGCTTATATGATAATCGTCCTATTCTTGAGTATGGTTTTAAAATATTTGTTCGCAACGGAAAAGCATCGTCTGCCACAAAAACTGCGTTTTTTGGTAAATTTAACTGATTTGTACTGATTGCTTCGTTAAATGATGAGTTGTTAAAAATTGAAGCGTCATTCATGCGACCATTTGCTCCGACATCTATATAGATAAAACAATAATTTGCATCAACCGCTGCTAGTAGAACAACGCTGTATGTCCCTTTATAGTTAAAATAATTTGAAGCTCCGTGAGGGGGGTTTCGTATAAGAACATGTTTCCCATCTATAGCCCCACAGCACAATGGAAAATTCCAACGAATATTAAAATCATTTTGGATTTTTTTCCATTCGTTTTCTGTACTTGGTACCTGAAAATTAAACAATTTACTCCAATATTTAATATTGAAACAATAAAATATTGAAACTACTTTATAATATTTTTATTAGATTCTAACTCTTGTTGGAAAAATTCAAAATAGCCAATTTGTAAATTTAATTAAAAGAAATATTTTGATGGTAAAAATATTTATCTAAATCAATTAGTTTATTTTTTAGAATTTTTTAAAATATAAATATTTTTTTGCATAAATTACTTTGGAGCGTTAACTTCTTTCAAATATTATTTCTGAAATGAGTATATTTCTTAAATTATTTATTAATCATATAATTTTCACAATTTTTGTTGTACGTTTAATTAGCATAATTTCTTTTTTTTTTTTAGTCAGTTCTATCTGATACACCCTGTATATCTTATATTATCTCAGTAGAACTCGCAATTTTTTTTTTAGACTTTGCCAAGTGAAACATTATCAATTGAACCACAAACAACTGATAATTTGAATACTGACGAACCTGAACAAGATGATATATTTAAAACACCAAATATCGACGAAGAACAAGATACAGAAATAACTCAAATATCATCTTTTCCTAAGAATTTGAAAAAAATGAAGACATCGAATTTTAAAATGAGATCAAAACTACCAAATATTTCTCCAATTGAAAAGGCAATTTCAAAATTAGACAGTATTGCTAAAGAATGTGTCGTTAAAGAAGATGATGAATTTGAAACTTTTGGAAAGCATGTGGCCAACCAAATGAGAAAAATACCACTTGAAAGGGCTCTTATTTTGCAAAACGATATTCAAGGTTTATTGACACGAGAACGGTTACATTGCTTATCAAATTCACAAACAGTTTCAAGATCTTCAACTCCGAGTTCAACTTTACTACATTCTAATTCTACTTGGGATTATTCTTCAGACACCTGTTCCACCGAACAACCAATCATTCATGTCAATAATATTGAAGAAATCCAGAATAGTTGTGAAGCAGATATATTAACGCAAGCCTGGACCACAGTAAATATGTCTGATTTCAATAATTAAACTATCAACAATAATAGAAGTCCACTCCAGTTCAAAATGTTGAAGAATAAAATTATGTAAATATTTTAATTTTTGAAAGGTACATATTTTTTTTTAGTTCTTTACAAGATTTGATTTTTTTTTATGATACAAATATTTTTTAAATTTATTTTACTTAAAAATAAATGTTGGATCTTATTTCTTTTTAATATAAAATATATAATACATTACCTTGATAAAGTTTTCCAATGCTTTGTATATTGCTTCTAAAACGTCCAATAAAAAACATGATATTGTACATTTCGGAACTCTATACAGTACTGAAAGGGAAGCAAAGCTATCACCGGTAGCTAAAAATCGTAATAATATTTCTAGCTTCAATCTTGCTGGCAGTGCTTCTCGCATATTGGTATTTTCCTTTTGAATATAAGGAGATACTTTTTCTAGAAGATATAAAAACATATCTTCGTTCATTCTTAAATGATTATAGAATGATTTTGGATCTTCTACAGAAATCTCTTTTAAAAGATTTGTTGATGCACCTAAAGTGTTCCTTCTTAAAATCCATTTCCGAGTCCACAAACGACGCTTTTTGGTTTTTTTACTTTTAAATTTTAACAACTCTTCACGTAATATATCACAAATTAATAAAACACCAACACGTACCGTAGAAGACATTTTGTGTACACTTCCGACTAAAATGTAGCCAAGAAACAGTTGAACGTGTAAACAATTAATAGTTTCGATTGGGATCGATGCGTTGTCGTGCGGCGAAAGTCGTTCGACCGCGATCGACCCGTGTAAACTCGGCATAATTACGATTAGGTAATCGACAATAGCGTATATTCGTCGAGTATTTTGACTTGAAGACTATGTCGCTTATACACCAGCTAGTGGCGTAGCCAGCGAAATGTTAAGAAAATTTAAAAATTATTTTAATGGTCGCTCAAAAAGTCTTAAATTTATTTTTAAATATTTAAAAATGTTACGTATTTAAGGTGTAAAAGTTGATCACCACACCCCCTCCCCCGAAAAAAATCATGCATGACTACGCCACTGTCATACACTACTCGTACACTTGCATGCTGATCATCGTGCATTTACAGACTGGTGACAACCGATGGCAAATGACGAGTATATAATCAGTGACTTGACGAGTAAATACTGTTTAATGTTTATCCTTATGATCAACGTTGGATAAACGTACTTCTATCCCGAAAAATATACAAATATGTCAAGACGTAACTTAAACGTAAAATATATGTTTATCTTTACCCATATTTCGATGTAAGTTCGACCAACCAATTATCAAC